GGGGGGAGAGAGAGTGTGTGTGTGTGTGAGAGAGGGGTAGACAGTGTGTGTGTGTTTGTGTGTGAGAGAGAGCGAGGGGGGAGAGAGAAAGAGTGTGTGAGAGAGAGGGGCAGGAGAGTGTGTGTGTGCGTGAGACAGAGAGAGGGGGGAGAGAGTGTGTGTGTATGTGAGAGAGGGGGGAAGAGAGTGTGTGTGTGTGTGTGTGTGTGTGTGTTTGTGTGTGTTTGTGTGTGCGTGTGTGTGAAAGAGAGAGAGGGGTGAGAGAGAGAGAGTGTGTGCGTGTGTCGGGTGGGACAGTGAGTGTGCCCATCCCCCCCTCATACGCACACACTCTACCACGCAGACACACACACACACTTGCACATGTGAATCTATGTGGCGAATTTATATTTGCAGGTACATTCTATTTTCTTCAAAAAGCACACAATTTATAGACCATCAGTCAATGTGGCGTTTTATAAGTCCCTACTTTAGAAATAATAGGGGAGGTGATGACCTAGTGGTATTATCACTGGACTGTTAATCTAGAGACCCAGATAGTGGTCTGGGGACCTGATTTCGAATCCTGCCATGGCAGATGGTGGAATTGGAATTCAATAAATATCTAGCATTAAGAGTCTAATGATGACTGTGAATCCATTGTCAATTGTCGGAAAAACCCGTCTGGTTTACTAATGTCCTTTAGGGAAAGAAACTGTCATTCTTAACCACTCCAGCCTACATGTGACTCCAGACCCACAAGTTGACTCTGAACTGCCCTCTAGGCAATTAGGGATGGGCAATAAATGCTGCCTAGCCAGCGACACCCTCATGATTGAATAAAGGAAAAAAAAAGCAGTCTGACTCCAAACTTCCTTTAAAAAAGGAAGTAGACAAAAAGCAGGTAACTATAGGCCAGTTACCTTAACTTCGATAGTGGGGAAAGTGCTTGAATCTATCATTAAGAAAGAAATAGCAAGACATCTGGATATAAATTGTTCCATTGGGAACACCCAGCATGGGTTCACGAAGGGTAGGTCATGTTTAACTAATTTGGTGGAATTCTTTGAGGACATTACTTGCATCGTGGACAACGGGGAACCTGTGGATGTGGTATATCTGGATTTCCAGAAGGCATTTGACAAGGTGCCACACCAAAGGCTGCTACATAAGACAAAGTTGCATGGTATTACAGGGTAATATATTGGTATGGATAGAGGATTGGTTGACCAGTAGAAAGCAAAGAGTAGGGGTAAATGGGTGTTTTTCTGGTTGGCAGTCAGTGGCTAGTGGTGTGCCTCAGGGATCAGTGTTGGGACCTCAATTGTTTACAATTTACATAGATGATTTGGAGTTGGGGACTAAGTGTGGTGTGTCAAAATTTGCAGATGACACTAAGGTGAGTGGTAGAGCAAAGTGTGCAGAAGACACTGAAAGTCTGCAGAGGGATATAGGTAGTCTAAGTGAGTGGACAAAGGTCTGGCAGATGGAGTACAATGTTGATAAGTGTGAGGTCATCCATTTTGGTAGGAATAACAGCAAAATGGACTATGTCTTAAATGGTAAAAAATTGCAGCATGCTGCTGTGCAGAGGGACTTGGGTGTCCTTGTGCATGAATCGCTAAAAGTAGGATTGCAGGTGCAGCAGGTGATTAAAAAGGCAAATGGAATTTTGTCTGCCATTGCTCGAGGGATGGAGTTTAAAAACAGGGAGGCTATGCTGCAGCTGTATAGGGTCCTGGTGAGGCCACACCTGGAGTACTGTGTGCACTTTTGGTCTCCTTACTTGAGAAGGGATATACTAGCACTGGAGGGGGTGCAGAGGAGATTCACTCGGTTGATTCCAGAGTTGAGAAGGTTGGATTATGAGGAGAGACTGAGTAGACTGGGATTATACTCATTGAAATTCAGAAGAATGAGGGGAGATCTTATAGAAACATATAAGATTATGGAGGGAATAGATAAAGTGGAGGCAGGGAGGTTGTTTCCACTAGCAGGTGAAACTAGGACTTGGGGGCATAGCCTCAAAATAAAGGGAAGCAGATGTAGGACTGAGGTCAGGAGGAACTTCTTCACCCAAAGGGTTGTGAATCTGTGGAATTCCCTGCCCAGTGAAGTGGTTGAAGCTACCTCTCTGAAAGTTTTTAAGGCAAGGCTAGATAAATTTTTGAACAGTAAAGGAATTAAGGGTTATGGTGAATGAGCGGGTAAGTGGAGCTGAGTCTCAAAAAGGTCAGCTATGATCTTATTAAATGGCGGGGCAGGCTCGAGGGGCTAGATGGCCTACTCCTGCTCCTAGTTCTTATGTTCTTACGTTCTTATGTTCTAAACCAAAACACGAACAAATTCTGACCTAAAATGTCACCTCTTCTTTACACTGATAAAACCTTTAGTTCTCTCAGGACAGTGACTTGAAAGGAATTTGGGGAATCACATATACATATTAATCAATTAAAAACTTCTAATTGATTGAAGATTTAACAGCATCTTAGGTCTGTTTAATACATCATTATCAGTGGTGTGACCGTTTGATCTTTTACTGTAAATTCTGTGTCTGATACTACTGCTGTCACTAACACCTGAAGGAGTGAGGCTCTGAAAGTTTGTGTTTTCAAATAAACCTGTAGAACTATAACCTGGTGTCATGTGGTTTCTGACCTTGTCCATGCCAGTCCAACACTGGCACTTCCACATCTTGTCTTTGACAGTGGTATCAAACATGCTCATTGTTAAAAAAAATTCCTTTAACATTTAAACAAAATAAACTGTATTCATCGCCCCACTTTATAGACTTTGTAAGTACTTGGAGCTTATAGTCAAAATGTGAATTGGCAGATGCGAATCTGTGATGATGATATAGTGTGAAATCAGTCATGCAGCACAAATTCTTTAAACATGGATCTCAGGCCTGTGTCAACAGGGAGAATGAAATAGGAGCATCATGCTTTTTTATACTGCAGACAGCTTTTACAAAAGATTAAAGGCCTGATTTAAATTCTTTGACAGTGCACAGTCCTGCTGATAGCTTGATAATTCCATGACTTTATCTTATGACAATCTCAGAGACACTTGACTTCTCCCAAAAATGTCTCTAGGCCTATAGATGGATCTAAAAGGTGCTCTACCTCTCCAAAAGAGAGGTTTTGTCAATCAAAAGAATTTTGGCAATGTTGAACTTTCCTTAAAGATCTAAAGCTCACAAGTCACTTCTTGGACAGCCCACTTATGAAAATTGGATCTGACTTTTAATGTGTAACTGACACCATGAACTATGAATAAGCAAAGTACAATCGAGCCCTGTTCCACTGGCAGAAATGATAGGTGTCATGCCAAAGTTGCAAGAGTTAGGGAATTGGACATCTGTCTCCATTTTGGCTAATTGGAGACCCTCTCTGTCTTTATGCAAATTCAAGGTATGAGGTCAGACATGGAGATTTTACTGACGACTGCAGAGTGTTCTATATGAATAACAATTACTCATATGCTGAAGCGGTCCATGCCCACATACAGCAAGATCTGGATAACATTAAGATTCGGGCAAGTAAGTTACAAGTGACAATGTTTGCACCTAGTAGGGGCCAGACAATGACTATGCCCAACATAAGGGAATATACCTATCCTTTGATATTCAATGGCATTATCACAATCTATTGCCAAAATTTGACATGTAAGAATTTTGTTTTCAATTTTTCACAAACAAGTGAATATGTGAAAGTATTTAACACCATCTTTTAGAAAGGTTAATTTTGAGTGACCAGAGGGAGGTGAAACAGAATTAGTATTATTGTGCAATTGCATTAATCATGTCACTCTTTGAAACACTTCAATTTTACCCTCCACACCCCTCTACTTTAAAAAAAAAACTACCTTGGCTTCTGCTCTTGTCTTTTCATTGTTGGCTTTTGCTGCTTTCTCTGCAATCTTCTTTTGACGTTGTGGTCCTCTTCCAAAAAATATGTAGTTAACCAGGGCATACTCCAATAGGGCCAAAAACACAAACACAAAGCAGCACATCAAGTACATATCAATGGCTTTAACATAAGGGATCTTTGGAAGTGTCTCCCGCAGATGGGTATTGATTGTAGTCATTGTAAGTACCGTAGTGATACCTGTAAGGAATTAAATAATCAACTTTAATGTGTGGTCATCAACATTTATACCTTAATATTTTCACATTAGACATTAACATTCATAATGCCAGAAAACTAAGAATATGATAACTTAAATGGTTTCAATCATTCATTTGCATGATCTACGAAATGTAGTTTAAGTAGTGTATCAACAAAGATGGCAGCAAGAAAGACAGCTTTTAGAATCTGAAGTCTGGTATAAGTTTTACTCCTTATTGTAAATTTTTCAATAGCTTTGTTAAACCAGTCAAAAAACAAATTGTTGTATCAGGTAGTTTAACATGAGTTTAAAAAAATTATTTATTACATGTTGATAACACACCCTTTGTGTCTGGGAAATGGAAGCTGCCATTTCTATGGATGTAAAAGTGAATTTAAAAATGTATCAATAATAGTATATTTACTACAAGACTGTGAAATAGCTGACACAAATTCACCAGTATGACTACTACAAGATGATACAATTAATATCTAAAGTAATTCTAGGTACAGACTATTCACAATTTTGTTTTTATTATGGCCTAAGGAAATGGCAAACACATCATTCGACCTAAACTGTGTTCCTTAAAAACAAAGTTTATCATAATGTTCAATGTTAGTGCTAAATAAAATGCCACAGAATGCGATTGCAGTTTGATTTAAAAAAAAGAAATTCTAACACAATCAGAGTTCTCTGTATGCCCTAATTTCTTTGAATTGTTATCTGAGAAAGAAATTGTAAATAAGACTATTAGGAATCAGTCTCTTCTGACCAAGTTACTGAATAAAATGTTATGATCAAAAATAACAGAAACGATTGAAGTTACACTCAGAAGTTACCTGAAATACCCAAACTAGAAAAGAAACAGTAAAATGACAACCTGGCAGTATATTCACACTAGATAATTAAAACATTTAAATAATTAAACATTTCCATTTAAATGTATACTTAGAGTGTAAAATCGATGCTCTTTTTCAGCAAATTGTTATTACAAAATTTTATTCCAGAACATTTTAAGTTCTGGGTTAGGAAGTGATCACACAAAGTAAATAGATAATTTCTGTCTTCAGATTGTTGTTTGCACAATTTGAGATTATAAATTATTGCTACTCATTACTTACAAACTGAAATACATTATGCAGAGGAAGGAAATAAATTGTAAGCATTGTACAAGGAATAAATAACAGCATGCTAACCTGCAGATATTTATAAAGCCATACCTAAAGCAACTCGTGCAGCAGATGCATCATAATTAATCCAGAAAGACACCCAAGAGAGGATAGTGATCAAGATGGAGGGCATGTACGTTTGCAGAATGAAGTAACCGATATTTCTTTTAAGCTTGAAACTGAGGGAAAGCCTGGGGTAAGAACCTGGAAAGAAACAGTATACAAATATTTTAACTTCTGTCAGTGAGCTTAATATTAAGTCTGGAAATGCTTTGTTTGTATTTATCCCAATGAACCAAAAGCACGTACATTTCTAACATCTTGATATTCTTAAAGTTTCTCAAATTAGAAACCACATTGTCATTAAGATATTTCTACAAATGATGAATACCTGAGGACACGGCTTTCTTTAAAGTTGTTTCAGCAACTATGGACTAGATTTTATGGCCCTTTACTGGACTTGTTTAAAAGAGTGGGGTTGGGGAGAGGTGAAGATGGGATGGCTACAGTGGGGAGAAGGCATGCAAAATATGTCAGATCCTAGCCAACCTCTTTCCTATGCAACTCCAATCTGTTCCCGATAATACAGCAGGGTGAGTAAGCCAGCTACTAGGCTGCTTGCCCTTATTCCTTATTTAATTGGTAAATAAGAGCTCCAATTCACCTCCACTGCTACAATATGCTGGATAATGGAAGGTCAGAATGCAAAGTCTGTTTTTGAAAGGGTTTCTTTCAAAGACCGGAAGGGATGATACAAGAATTAAAAGTGTCCTGTACACATTAAGGCAAATCCTTCCCCAAGCTGTCAGTCTTATGCTGCATATATGCGCCCCGTCCCACAAACAACTTTGTTCCTCCCTCACTATTCTCCAAAACAAGAAATACATGAAAAACAATCAGCAACAGTTTCCATGTTTTTTGAGAAGGAGAAGCTAAAATAAGTGTGGAGCTTTGAAGGATGGAACTGGGGAATTGATAACGGGGAACAGGGAAATGGCAGATAATTTCACCAATACTTTGCATCACTCTTCATGATGAAGGACATTATAAGCTATTTGAAAGATGACAGATCTTGCTTATGGGGGGAAAGGCAGACAAGTCACCAGAAACTGATATTCTGCATCCAAGGGTTTCAAAAGAAGTGGTTGCAGAGATAATGGAGGCACTGGTCGAAATAATCCAGAACTGATTGCATTCTGAGAAACTTCCAGCAGATTCGAAAACTGCTAATGTGTTGAACCTGTTCAAGAAGGGAGGGAGACAGAAAACAGGATACTGTAGGCCAGTTAGCCTAATATCTGTCTTTGGAAGAATGACAGGACATTTAGGAAAGCTAAATGCAATCCAATAGAGTCAACATGATTTTGTGAAATGGAAATCATGCTTAATAAATTGGCTGGAGTTCTTTGAGGAGATAATAATCAGAGTTGATAAAGGGGTACTGATAGGTGTATTATATTTTGATTAATCAGAAGGCATTCAATAAAGTGTCATATTATTTTCTAAGAAAGCTCCACGGTATTGGGGTCATGTTTTGCAAATATTGAGCATTAGTTAACGCACAGAAGACAGAGTTTTGATTAATGGGTCTCTTTCAGGTTGGAAAGATTTATCTAGTGGAGTGCCACAGGATAAGTCTTAGGACTTAAATTTTTACGATCTATATTCATGACTTAGAGGAGGGAGCAGCTCATAATCTATCCAAATTCGCTGACAATACAAAAATGGTTGGTAGGATGCAGATAGGTTGAGTGGGTGAGTAAAAACTTGTCAGATAGTTTAATGGAAGGAAGTGTGAGGTCACACAATTTGCTTGGAAGAATCAAAAGGTAGATTATTTGAATGGAGAGATACTCTAAACAAGCACAGTGCAGAGGGATCTAGATGTTCCCATAAAGCTAACAAGCAAATGCAGCAAATAGTTAAGAAGGCAAATGAAATTTTTATTTTTATTGCTGGGGATTAGAATTTCAAAACAGTGAAGTCTTTATATAAATATATAGGGTGTTGGTGAGGCTGTACCTACAGCTTTGGTTCCCATATTTAAGAAAAAGGATATTGACATTGGAGCCTGTTTAAAAGAGATTCACTAAGCTGATTCCTGTGAAGAAAGAGTTATCAAAAACAGCTAAGCAGGTTAGGCCTTTGTTCATTAGAGTTTAGAAGAATGAGGTGTGATCTTATTGAAACATACAAAATTAAAAAGGGGGTTACAAGGTCGATGTGAGAAGATGTTTCCGCTAATGGGAGCTCTTGAACTAGGGAACATAGTTACAGAATAAGGGCTCCCTCAGTTAAAACTGAAATGTGAAGGAATTTCTTCTCAAAAGGGAAATGATTGAGGTAGAAAATTCTCGACAGTTGTTGTGGGGGCTAGATTGTTGAAACTGTTTAAAGAGGATGCAGACAGATTTTTGAAGTATTGGGGTCTTTAAGAATATGCTGTGATGGCATAAAAGAGTTGAAGCCCAGGTAAATTTTCTATGATCTTGTCGAATAATGGTGTAAGCTTGGGGGACTAAATGGCCTATTACTGTTCTTGTTTCTTATGTTCTAGAGGGGAAATCACAGATGGTTTCCAATGCATGTGCTGCCCTTATCCTTCGAATCCCAGCGGTTGCAGGTTTAGAAGGTGCTGTCAAGGGAGACCCATTGAGTTGCTGCAGTGTATCTTGTAGGTGGTACATAATGCTGCCGCTCTGTATCGGTGGTGAAGGAATGCTACCAGACTCTGACCTGCTCTTGTAGCCACAGCGTTTATATAGCTGTTCCATTTCATTTTCTGATCAATGATAACCTACAGGAATAAAGGAGATTCAGTGATGGTCATGTCACTGAACATTAAGACGAGATGATTTGATTCTCTCTTTTTGAAGATGGTTATTGCCTGGCAATTGTGTGATGAAGGGGTGTACTGAGTCAAAATTCCATTACATGCAGGGAATCCTGAGCTTCCAGATTTCCTCATGAAGCTCTGCTCCCCTGATCTATACAGCTTGTCCATGTCAACAGTAAGCAAATATTGCAGGCAGTTATTTATCACCAACTCTACATTGAGGGATAAATTTTAATGTGTAAATATTACTACATCTGTTCATCTATCCTCTTGAACCATATTTCCGGATTCCAGCTTACTGAGTAGAGAAAGTGGAGGGTAGCAAGAGGCCATAGGAATAATTCCAAACTTGAATGACATCATTGAATGTTTCTTTTGAAGAATGTGATTCTCAAACAAGGTATTATTATCAGTCAGTCTTGATAAATAATTGTTGGTACCCTAAAACTCACGCAAGATTAAGCAAGGCACAAAAGTTTAGGAGAAAAACATTTACTAGGATATTGCTTAAAATTGTTGTATCAGCATTGTGAAACAATCAACTAGAACAAAAAAGCTAGTTTCTATGTCTGAGTAGATAATATGTCCTACAGTTCACTAGGAAAATAGGATCTAAATGCACTAAACTAAGCTGTTTTCGAGTTAATGCAAGTTACTTGGAGCCCGAAGGAACGCTTATCTGTTGACAGAAATGGGTTTAATTTTGAGCATGATGAGAGGAAATGTAGAGCATAATTAGCAAAGGGAATGCACATCCATCCAAATTTCAGACAATATGAAACAATACTTCACCGTGAAGTCATTAAAAATGCCCTTGACCTTGGCGTGTTTAAGATCGAGCCAGATTTGGAGTGGAGTGGTGAGGATAAAGCTTTAGAAATATGAGGATTCAATTTTGTGCATTTGGCATCTGTCTTCCTTATAGGTCAAAAAAGACCAATGGCAAAAACAATATTGACTTCCTCTATTCAGGAGGCTATATTTCCCAAGTTTTATCTGCTAATATCTGATCAGCCATCTTCCTAAAATCAGTATGATATCAGCGCAGAATGCTGAGTGGAATCAAAGGAAATTGCAAGAACTACAATAAGTCATGGAGAGAAACTTTGGAATAGTGTCAGAATTAGGAAGAATGGGGAATCAGAAAAAGAATGACTACACCTCCTGGACCTACGAGAAAAACTTAAGCATTTGGATATCTTCTGGCGCTTGGTGTTTTCCCATTAGCTCCACCCAATAAGTGGCACACCAGTTTCCCCATGGAAACTTTTGGGAGAAATTATTCAATGGAACTTAATCAGTATTTTTGAAGAAGATCTCACCTATTTCTAGCAGATATCTTGCCTGATTAGAGAAAGTTAAAATGAAGAGAATGCGAATAAACTAGGATGCTAGTAGGTATGTTTTACAGCTGGTTTTAACTGCCTGGTCACCTAGCTTCCATCCAGCAGTTATCAAGAAGAAAACAATTATGCAATTGGAGACTTAGCATTGTAAAATCTGTGAAACTAGATTGAAGGATTATATCACATTTAATTTAGCGTTGACAGCAACAGAGCAACATGTAACACATTTAAAATTGAAATTATGACTTGCATTTACTGGCTGAAGAAAGGCCTTATAGACCAGTGATGGAAAAAATTATAGTTGAATTTTCACTATATTTCCACTAAGTGAGAAATAATTGCCCATTTTACACTCACTCAATTATTCTTTCCATTGAACTCCTAGATCAGGACATTCCCATTTATTTAACTGATTTCAGTCAAATAGATGTTTTCGTATATAAGCTACTTGAATGCTTTGCTTAGATAACAACAATGCAACCAATCCAAGCAACAAGAAAGATATTTATAGACATCAATATGAACTCCTGCAGCACATTAATGATAGTAAAATATTCTCAACATTGTTAGTCTTAAAAACTGCTTTTAAGTTAATTGGACAACACTCAGGTGGACTGAATGCTCATAATTTATCTGAAGCAGATTGTTTTAGAACCTGGCATTTTTTTTTGTCATATTGGGAGTAGAGAGAGAGAAAGAGACAGAATCATGATGCTGGAGGTCAAGAATGGCTTTGGTAGTTCTGGTTGCCCAAGTTCTCCAAATATAATTTCAAATTTAATTTTACTGAGCCGCTTTGGTTCTACTATCCATGAAACTCCCTGACCAATTTTATTGATATCTAAGATTTCTCCATGATATTGTAAGCATTTCAGATAAACAGATCAATACTTTGACAAATGTAGCAGCACAGGAGCCATTCAAGTTGGGGGAGTAATGAAGAATGTAGTACCAGTAGTAGGGAACAGAATAATTAGGAGACAGGCATTGTTCTCTGCAACCGAGGAATGAGAGGTCTAATG